CCTCGTGTTTTATCAAACAGTTCCCTGAAGTAATTAGTGCCTGACAGTCCTGAGTCATAAAGGACATGTTGATACTATATTATAGATCAGTAATCTGAATTTCTATTTAGACTTCCAACATGTTTATGTTTGAAACGTGAGTGGGACTGAATATGAATGATGTCATTTGAAAAGACTCATGAGTATTTACAGGTGAGGCCATGCCACTGAATGACGTGCCCTAACAGCTCTGACTCCATCCAGTTAGTTCCATAAGGGAAGGGATCTTCAAGCCCTCTCTCTAGGACAGACTGACTGGCAAAAAACACACAGATCTCTATCCATGCCATTGTTGTCTCACTTGCTGGAACTTCAGGATGGACTTGCTGCCCAACCTTGAACCAGATGAGACATAAACAGTAGAGAAGTGAACACTGTCCCCACTCAGCCAGCTTGTGCAGATCTATGCTCTGTGCACATCAGCTTCTGCATGTGAAATTAGCAAAATGTTTCATCTGTCTCTAACATATTATAAAATTCTATTGTTAGAAAGCTAACTATAATAATACTTAGATGTTACAGTTTTATTATTCCTTAGTTTGAAGCCTGAGATTTTATTTCCCATTTTATAAACCATCATTGAGTATACATTCTCTACCTGACAATAATCTTACATCATGTTGGTCCTGCTATAAGTTTACTTTCAAAGGCACATTTACTAACTTGCCCAGGCTCCCTGGTAATTTATGCTTATTTTAAGATGCTGATAAAATAATTGCACAAATTACAACCTTTCAGTCTTTAATTGGAAGCTTTCTGCATTACCCTATGTATATTTCATATGAATGTCGAGAAGAGGTTTTTTTTTTTTTCTTTTCTTTTCAAGAAAAAGCCTATACCAGGAGAAGGTAATCAGATTTAAAATGCATACAATATAATTTATGATATTTTTAAAAGGTGTCTGCAGAGCCCAAAATGGAAACTTTACCATACAGGAAACAGGTGTGGCAAACACCAAACTACACAGTTCATTATATGAGGGGTTAAAAAATAAATAAAAGCTTGAATTTTTATGATCCAGAAATGAAAAGAACTACAAGTCATTATTTTCATTGGGAGAGGAAGAAGCTTTGAAATGTAAAAAGGTTCATAAGGCAAAAATACTTTCATATGTGATAGAGGATTCAACCAAGAATACAACTAAATTAAAGTGTTATTTTTCCAGAAAGATTTTACATTTAAAAATGGAAACAGGAAGACAAATTCCAGATTTACCTGGAAAGACCAAAAGGGTAAATGTATTAGGATTAGAATGTCTTTTCTTGGCAATAAAATGATCGAATATATTTGTATTTTGATTTTGTTTTTTCTTTATATAAGGATTATCTTCTTATATATGTATCAATTGATAATTGGCATTCAGTATCTAAATATTTTATAAAATTAAAACTTATGGACATGACTGGTCAATAAGTAAACAAATCTACCATCTCCAGTATGTTAGTTCCTTTTATTGACAAGTAATAATACAAAGACATTTTTTAAGTTTCTAAGAGTTTCCACTCCTGTATTTCAATTCTGCATTGACTATGTCTTGTTTGTAAATCATAGTTAAAATGTTGCTATGTCATTTACAAACTCAACATTGGATCTTTCTATTTATAAATAAATAAATAAAACTGTTAATTTAAAAATCAGCACTGTGTAGTGAATATATATCCAAGTTTCATGGTAAGGGAAAATGTAAGGGCAATGAATGGATATGTTCCCAGCTTATCTAGACCAAAGAAACTGGACTAGGTGATTATATGACAAATTCAGTTGGTAATGAAGTTCAGTTCAAACCTAAATCAAACATCCAAATAAAGTATCTGTGGCAGTTGGAATAATGGACTCCCCCCAATTTTTAAGTCCTAATCCCTGGAAACTATGATTATATTATAATACATGACAAAGGGGGATTAAATTAGTAGACGAAATTAAGGTTGCTAATCAGCTGACCTTAAAATAGGGAAATTATCCTGGATTACCCAGGTGGGCCCTTTGATCACAAGGGTCTGTAAATGTGGAAGAGGGAGGCAGAAAATTGACAGAATGATTACAGGTGAGGACTGAACCAGCCATTGCTGTCTTTCAACATGGAAGAGGGTCACAAGCCAAGGAATGCAGGCAGCCTCTAGAAGCTGGAAAAGGCAAAGAACTGGATTCTCTCCTAGAGCCTCTGGAAGGAATACAACCCTGCCAAAACCCTGATTTTATCCCAGTGGGATCCATTTCAGACATCTCACCTCCATAACTATAAGATAATATATTTGTGTTATTTTAAGACACTAAGTTTGTGGTCATTTGTTACAGCAGCAAAAGAAGACTAATGCAGTAACCATCTAGTGAATAGTAAAACCTACAATGATTTAATTATGACCCAGACTGATTAGTTCAGTCTCCCCAATACCTTGGCCATTTTCCTTTTACCACATGGGGGACAGACCTGAAAACCAAGTTGTGAGAATGAGAAGCCAATTGTCTCAAATAAAAACATATTAATTCCTATATCACCTTGAAACTTTATTAGCAAGATAAACTGCTACTCTTTCTCACCAAGGAAATAAAATAAAATTACATTTTAGAAAAGACGTATGTTAATAGTTATTGCTATGTTACACTCTTTATGTTTATGTTAATAATCATACATATAAAATGTATATATTTCCCAAAGGATATCCAGCAATATTTCTAAAGTTTCCAAATAAGACTTTCATATCAACCTATAAGATTAGAAACACTCCAAAAACTGAAACTACTGTCTGGCAGTGCTAAGTGACACATCACTGGGAATAATCAACCAAAAGACCTGCCCTGGATGTGACAGATGGAATTCTTACATTCAGTGAGAAATTGGGTTCAGTGACCTTGAAGTATATTTCTGACTACTAAATTTACAGGAAGTTTTCTTCATACAGAGGAAAATATTGACAGTGAACTCATTGGCAGGAGGAGATATTTGAAATAGCCCCATTAGATGTAAGAAGCTAGCAACATGGCTCCTGGGAGACTTTGCATCATTATCTGATCAGTTCCAAAGAGAAACATCAATAAAATTAAGGAGAAAAGCAACTAAGAAAGAGCCAATTAAAATAATAATTACGGAACTATATGATTGTTTGCTGACTATTTAGATAAGATCAAAGTGCATTCAGAACTCTTATGTACATTTTAGGAAGACTCTTTTTTACAACAGCTAGAAGAAGTTGTTATGTAACAATCATCACTTGAAAATACTTTATTGTTAGTAAATTAAACAACTCTATGGTAAATTTCTTAAAACTTAAACCAAATCAAATCAGCACTAAAAACAAAAAAAACCCAATAAACAAAAAATATCCTTTCAAATAAAATGTTGTATGTTTTGTGAATTCTTTTTTTTTTTTTTTTTAAAGTAGCAAATGCCATTCAAATGCTGCTATGGTCTGAATGTTTGTATTCCTGTCAAATTCATATGTCAAAATCCTAATCCCCACAGTGATGGTATTAGGAGTTGGGGCCACGTGGGAAGTGATTTGGTCATGAGGGCTATGCTCTCATAAATGACATCGGTACTTTTATTAAAAAAAGGCCCAGGGGAGCTCCTTAGCCCCTTTCACCAAGGAAGAACACAGTAAAAATGCTCCATGTATGACCAGAAAGCAGGCCCTTACCAGACACCAAATTTGCCAGCAACTTTGTCTTGGACTTCCCAGCCTCCAGAACCATGAGAAATAAATCTCTATTGTTTATAAGCTACACAGTTTATGGTATTTTGTTATAGAAGCCAAAATGGACTAAGACAGGTGCTATGCAGGAAATTTACTCTTCCTTCTTTTAAGTCAACAGAAGGAATGTTATAAAATAATCTGATGATTGTTCTATTAGGTATGAGCTCATAAGACAATAGCAAATCTTTATACAAAATGAAATGTTCTCCTCACAGGGGAAACAAGCCACTTTATTTATGACACATCAATTTCCTGTACCTGATTATCTCACATCCTATCCTCATTGCCAGAGCATTTAATGGAACTACTTGACTGGGGAGATTAAATACAGGAAGGCTTTACTTTCTCCAGAATCTGGATCTGTTTGGTCATCTCCACACTGTCTGCAACTCAGGACAAGATAATGGCACCTTGGAGTCCATCTCAATAGAATGGGGCCCTCTGTTTGCCTAGAGTGTGAATAGCGTGCAATTCAAATTCCTTCTAAACCAACATTCCCTCTCTCTTCTGTATCAGTCAGGACCAACTCCACTGCAAAGCAGGTTTGAGGGGGGTGAGGGGGGGAACATAAATTGTTCATATTGACCACAAAGCAAAATTAGTATCACCGTGATGGATCTAGAGTCCATCTGATCCTTAGGAAAGGTATAAAAGGTGTGAAAAATTCCCTAAATAACTTGTAAAACACTGTTCAGGTCCACAAACGTTTTGCTTCTGTCATGTTCTCCACTTAAATTTTATTCTTTAGGGGTCTGAGTGATTTGAAGTCTCTAGAACCCCTTGTTAAAATGCTAATACTTCTAGGACAGTAACTTGACACCTCTAACACAAATATAATTAAGGCATAAGGGGCGATCTGGAATTTGGGTGGCCATGGCAGGCAAACAGAGTTTCTGAAGACAAAATCCTGGACTTGAAAGATGATTTGGTACCTATTTACAGAGATGTAATCTGTTAAATGTTTCATTGGTCCTAAATTTGACTATTTCCCAAAAGGCAAAGTATATTACCTACATTCAGCATTCCCAAGAGACTAAAAAATACTATTAAACTGCAAGTATAAAAGACTATATGTGTGATTTTCTGTAGCAAACAATCAAACATAGTATAAACAACTCCAAAATTAAAGCACATACAGACTTAAAATGCTATCTTTGAATTTTGACATGCTCAGTTATTAAAAAAAAACTGTTTAAAAATATTTTTCCTACAAGATTAGAATAAATAGCATAATACATTTCTTTAGTGAATACTAAATGATAAACTTACATCAGAATTAAATCTTAACTGGCAAATGTTGCATGATATGATTTGCTTTCTTCGATGAGGAAGAGGAACACCGAATGTATGATTTATTACAGCTTTTTGAATTGGGTCCATCTGTAATGAGAAAAAAAATACAACAAATAGAAATAATGCTTGTCAGTTCCATTGGAATGTCGCCTATTTCATTAGAGAACTGATCTGTACAGCTCCAATCTACTGCTCACATTATAAAGAATATTTTTATTCTAAGAAATGGCATTTCTACTTTCTTGGAAAATAGATAACAATAAACCCAAAACTCAGTATGATAAGGAGATTATAAATGTACCCATTAGATACTGCATTCTGACTCTTCTCATTTAGAATCAACAATTGTCTCACTTAATAATTCTTAAAAACTCAATTTATTGCTAATGCCAGCAATTTGACACAGAAGTGTGTCTATACCATTGCCCCAAAAGGAACTTCAAAATAGACTTGGTCAATTGGGAAGCTGTAAAAATAAATTATGTGCTATTATCTAACATCAACCTTATGCTGTGTTTGGTTATCTTTTAAACCCTAAGAATACAGTATACAAATCTTGCTTTCCACGAATTGAAACATACGAAGCTGTTAATTAAGTCATTCAGGAATCATTTATTGACCACCTAATATATACTGCTATCTCATGGGCTTATTTGGGGGGGGTTCAGAGAGTTTGGGGTGTCAGTTATCTCATCCCATCCCATCCCCAGGACAGAACAGGCAACAACAAACACATAATGTCAGCAATCCAGCTCTGATAAAAATCAATGTCTCCTCATCAAGCTTTGTCTTATGGTTCACATAAGTGATTCTCAATGGTTAGAGTCAGATCAAAATTTTGACCTGCTTCTTAATTCTTGTGCAACCTCTTTGATTATCTGTATCTATCTCTTAAAGTTGTGAGATTTAAGTGTGATAATTCAAGGAATTTACTTAGTGCACTCTGGGTACAGCAAGAAAAGTACAGATGTAATCTATTATATTTTCTCTGTTGTAGGACATGTGAAGATCAAGATCAACACGAGCTTCACACTCCTATAGTCATAGTTGTATAATGGGTATAGTTGACACACTACCCATTTCTCACATGGTCAAAAATATTTCAAAATGATTTCAATGTTATATGTACAGGCATGACTTCTGTTGAATGCCTGCAAACTTAGGAACTCAACTCTTAACAGATACAAAGATTTTATGAAAGTCCTCACAATGAATTAAGACAGCTCAGAAATGATTTGACACACACAACGGCTAAGAATGTGTCTGAGAAATATGCTCTAATATTCAGCTTCTGTGACACATTATAGTTTATTAATTCTCCTAAACAAGCCATTGATAAATTCCACCTCCTTTTGTGTATTTCAAGCCATCAGAACCAATTAACTTATCAGCTCTCTCCACTGGAAGATAGGAGAAAGTTTCTGTCTCTTCTGTATTCGTAATTTCTATTAGGTTTTCTAGGCACTCTTAATGTATTGTCCTGAATAATAACAATTAAAATAATAGCAGCCGGCATTTATTTATTAAGCACCTTCTGTGTGCTGAGCACTGAGCTAGGGGGTTTACATATTACAGTCACAATGATCAAGAAGAACTCATGGACGTAATCATTTTTACCTTTCACGTTCCCTTTAAATTTATTATCTGATGTAAACTCTTGCCCAGATAATGAATGAAACTCAGGGTATCCCCGTGATTTTTCTAATCACTTTTAGGTATTAATGAAGTACAGAATCCCCTCCTCCCTTACTAGTGAATTCTATCACACTTTCTTTTTAATCAGTTTTATTTAGATGTAATTTATATATGATAAAATTCACCAGCATTGAGTGTACAAGTTGATGAGATCTGCCAAATGCAAATGGTCACAATAATTATCACACAGAACATTTCCATTACCTGAATAATTTCCCTCCTGCCCCTCTGTGTTCAATCTCTGCCTCCCACCTTCAGCCTCTGAAATTACTGGCCTGCTTTCTGTATTTATGCCTTTTCTCTAAGTTTATTTAAATGATATAATCCAGTAAGTGGTATTTTGTGTCTGGCATCTTTCATTCAACATAATGCTTTTAAGATTCATGTTGTTGCATGTATCCGTAGTTTGTTCCTTTTTACTGCTGAGTAGTATTCCTTTGTGCAGATACACCACAATGTGTTTATCCATTTGCTCTTGATGAACATTTGAATTGTTTGCAGTAAATTTTATGGTCTTTTGGAGTCCTAATACGCAACCTAATTTCATTCCTAAATTAAGGTTAGTGTCTTAATCCAAACATTAAAAAAATAATTTAAAACTATAATGTCTCTTTTCCTTAGCTTGGACCTAGGATGGGGTGTGACAGGCCACAGGGCATGGTACGGGATACTTCTCTTTAGGTACTGCCAAGGCCCCCACCCCAGCTAAGCTTCCAACCTTCCTGCAATTGCAGCTTACCCTTATTTCCTTAGAATAAAAATTAACGATGCACCAATCTTGAGAAATCCAATAGTCACACAATTATGTGATCCGGGCTGCTACAAAGGCCCTTATTCTGCTCTGCAGGTTTATTCTTACACCACTTTTAAAATGCCATCACAAAGGTTCTATACAACCACAGAGAACACTGGGGGATAATTTCCATTTTAGTCTTCAGCTGAGAGAAAAATTAAAAGCAGAAAGAGGTCACTGACTTAGAGTCAGTTGTCTTCTCATAGTCTGGGTGTGTCTTCTGTGCATAAATGGGGCCCCTTTCTATCAAAGGATAAGATGAATTATGACTATAACCCATTAAGGAATATTGAAGTCCTCTCATAATAACACTTTGCAATGAAAATGAACTGCATATTTATATCAAAGATGCTCTCTGAAAATACATAGTGCTCAGTTTTTATCACATACTGGTGAACAGGGTATTATTTTGGTCTCTCAGTAACAGTGGGAAAGCAGTGGTCACATTCAATCCAAATTTGTGTAGGAGGTATTTTGGAACGAGATACTTCATGCAAATGTGACATACTCTCTAAATGAAATTCTTTTGTTAAATTGAATGATATTCTGATCACTGTGGCTACAAAATCAGAATTTTAAAATGCAAAGTGGTGTATTCTTCTTCAGAGACTTTTATTTTCCTGTATACTTAAAAAAAATACACACAACTGAATTATATTTTAGAGATTGTTTTCACAAACTATAGATACACCACCAAGAATAATTATCTTTTAACATTTTAGGAATCTAGTATAACAAAATGATAAAAGTTTAACACCTTTATTTATTTATTTATTTATTTATTTATTTATTTATTTATTTATTTTTGTGACTGGTAAGCAGATCACAACCCTTGGCTTGGTGTCACCTGCACCACGCTCAGCCAGTGAGTGCACCAGCCATCCCTATATAGGATCCGAACCCACGGCGGGAGCACCACTGCACTCCCAGCACCGCACTCTCCCGAGTGCGCCACGTGGTTGGCCCTTAACACCTTTATTAACAAGAAGAAATCATACCCACCTCTCATGTATATATATATATGTATATATATTAGATTCACCACTCTAAAATATATATAGATATATGACTATTTACAATGAGGAATTATGAAAGGACAAAATTTAAATAATAACCAGTTCTACTGTTAAATAGTTAATTAAATGATACCACATGCCATGTAACTAAAAGTAGCTCCTACTATCAAATCAGGGGTCATACATAGCCACTGATCATTTTACCTAATCTTACCATTACTTGACATTATCATCAAACATTTTGTTTAAAAAGAAATCAACTATGTTGTTTTTCTCCTTATGAACCAATAGTTCCGACCTGTCAAAACAATCACGTCTTATTGTGTGTGCATATTATCATCAGGAATTTTTCTACAAAATCAGCCTCAAGAGATGTTAATATGTGTGGTAGGCAAGAACAAAAAGTGTTCCTATGTCAGATGAGCTGTAGAAAATCTAGGTACTACAGTCTAGACATTCACAGCACACAACAGAATATTAAAATCTCTGAGACGTCCTACATAAAAATACAAAAAACACTATGTTTTAAATACATGATTTTGTTGAAGGGAACCCTGAGCATTTTCTAATTGTTAAACCTATCCCTTTTTTCCGCTCAAGCAACCACTTTAGAGATTTTATGCTTGACTGTCTTGGTGGCAAGCTCTGGCTCCTGCAGCTTAGCTTGCCTGCTTCCTGCACCTGCCTGTATCCAAGTGCTGATAGGAGACAACAGTTTCACACTGCCCTAAGGTCTGGATGCAAATTAGGCTCCAGGGCTGACCAATGGACTGTGTTCCATAATCAGCCAATACAAATTAGCAGGACTGCATCCCTCATTTACGTAAGAGGACCTAAATGGGAACTTGGGCGGGAAGTTAGGGTGGGAATTTTGGCTATATAAGACTGCCTCTTTCCTTTGTTTGGGGAGACACTGGTCTAGGGAGTCTTCGCTGCCCAGTGCTCTCCTTGCTTGCAAGCAAAAAAGCACTGTAACACCAAACAAAGAGCTGTATCACCAAATAAAGAGCTGTAAAACTGCAACACTAATGCGGGTCTTGGATTCCTCTGTGCAATCTCCCCCACAACAATTTCTAAAATAATATAACCAAAGCTTTTGTTGTTTTGCTTGCTTTTAAATTTAGCATCATTTTTCAGTGCATACAGTTTAGAAAACAGTGATCTGAGAAAGAAAATTATTATAAAATAATAATATGAATAAAACGTAAAGACTTCAGTACAATAATGAAGACACTAAACTAATACACAGAAACTTCAGATATACTTTACTTAACACCGAATTAAAAACTAAAAGAAATGGTAAAATTTACAATGTATTTTATAACATATTTATCCCCTTTTTAAATTGGTATATTTTGAAAGCCGGAGTTTTCGAAATCCATTATCCAATCTCCCAAAACAAGCAAACAAAGTGAAGAATGACACACTGCCTATTGCTATGCTTACCCGAACTCTAGACTAAATTTAATTTCAAACTCAGCCTATGGCCTTATTTAAAGCCAAATGAATATGTTTTTCTTCATTTCAGGCTTAAGGATCTTTGAATTCCCATCAAAGGCCTGGCTTTTCCCTCACCTCCCCTC